CTGTCCATTACAGAACAAATGCAGATAAACAACACAATTTAGTCTTTTTTTTCTTTCTTTTTTGTTTTTGGCAATCAATGTGTAATTCTTTTTAAATAATGGCAAAAGCTACACTTCAATGTGTGAAATACATTGATGATGTAATATCGATATTCTGAGATATGTACAGTAATGAATGGAGGGGTTGGAGAAAGGAATTCCGGGATTTGGACTGGGGACTGTGGTGTGTCAATGTTGATTTTTGCACGAGGATGGAGTCTCTTATGGCCCTCCAGCAAATGTGGGGGTGGTTTATCAGAAGATGAATGTTAGTTTTTTCTCTTCTTGCCTTGAATATTTAATAGCTATATCTATAAAACTATGCAGAAAGAGACAGAGAAAACAAAAGAGAGAAAGTGGGGGAGAGGCGTAGAGGAGTCTGTGCTGAGGTACAGTTTTATACTCTTGTTTGTCCTCCCTTTTTTTCTTTCTGGTTGTTCAAAACATGAGGGATGTCTCAGCATTGACCCTGGAGAACATTTTTCATATTTTACAATGTTTCTGAGTCACATGCTGAGCTGCTCTCTAGCCTTATCCCTCCATCTTTCCATCTCTTTTGACATCAAGCAACTCAAATCAGTTTTGTTTCTTAAATGTCTCTTTTTCTGTTGGAAGACTTTTGTTGTTAAGTGAGGCTCAGGAATATCAGTATGTGTGTGAGTGTGTGTGGTGTATACGTGTTTGTCAATTAAGTATGAGTCCCGTTCTGTTCCCCAGCGCTCACCATTAAAGTCTGAAAAAGCAGTTTTTTTCTCCATAATGTTGAGAATGCCAAATCTGATTTCCTCCAGTCCTCCCTCATCCGTTTGCTTTTTTGTTTTCACCCTACCCCTCTCTCACCTGTCCAAACTATGCAAAAAAATATGCAGTGTCAAGTGTGCAGCACAGGGCGTGGCCGTCGCCTCATCAGCCACTCCCAACCTTGTCTAAGCCCCTCCCCTATTCGCTGTCAGACATAGGCCGATTCGCTAGACTGGGTGCGGCCCAGGTTGGGCACTGAGGAAAGGTGGGACACATCCTTTTTCCGGATCTCACAAATGGACTTTCTGCGAGCCTGGACGCCACGGATGGCTGTCTTAATCTTCCGCCAGCCCAGATGGTTGAGCTCAGCCAAATTTAGCACCACACAGAGCCCGCTAACTGCGAACATGAACACCAGGAAAACTGTCTTCTCCGTGGGACGTGACACGTAGCATTCGACCTCCTTCACGCAAGGGTAGCGGTCACACTCAAACATGGCGGGAACATTGAATCCATACAGGAAGTACTGGCCGACAAGAAAGCTGATTTCCAGAACGTTCCGGAACACCACTTGTATGACATAGAAACGGGAGATGCCCTCCTGCTGACGGATCTTGGCACTTTTGGAGTATGTGACCCCCTGCGGAATGTTGGGAATGTCTTTCAAATCCAGACAGTCAGGGTCATCTTTGCTTTCCGGGTGCACCAGGATACCGTTGATGTTGCGGAGCTTGCGGCTCGGCGTGTGTCCATGGTCGATGTATGGGCCGTGCAGGAGGGAGTAACTGCGATCTTTGTACTTGGCAGACTGGTGCACTGAGTAAGTGATAAAACAGAGGCTGGGTGTACACACCAAGATGATCTGGAAAACCCAGTAACGGATATGGGAGATGGGGAAGGCTTTATCGTAGCAGGCCTGGTTGCAACCCGGTTGCAGCGTGTTACATATAAACATAATCTGTTCATCCTCATACACCTTCTCTCCCACTATACCCACGATCAGGATCCGGAATATCACCACCACTGTCAGCAGGATCCTTTAGGGGAGAGAAAAGAAGAGACAGAGAGAATCATGGGAAGGCAGAGATAGAGACGGGATTGAAGAGAGGAAGGAAGAAAAAAGGATTAGATTTCATTTTTCATTGCTTTTCAACAGCACAGAGCTACATTGCATTTCTAACTCCCCCTATCTTGCAGACACGTTGCAAAACAACTAAATAGTGAGTAATTACTGTAAGAAGCGAAGGTAAAGCAGGCATTTAACATTTCTAATCGACCTGCTACTCATTTTAAGCTTAAATTTTATATTATTAAATATTTAAAATATAATATAAAAAATTATTATATGTAATATAAAAAAAATTAAATTATATTTCAGCTTAATATGAAAAAAGTAAGCGATTCCTATTTTCCCTACATTCTTTATATTTTCCCACTTTTTGTTTCATTTTGACCAGCCTGACTCTGGTTCAACCAATGATGTGAATTTGTAGGCAGGGTTATCGATTTGTATGACTAAATGCCAGATGGGTAACCTGGGGCAAGTTCAAGCGCAAACCGGTGTGCACCGATTTGCTACGGTTTCCGGTTTGAACGACATGTTTCCTGGAAACGGTGTGCAACGGGGTTTGAGATGCGTTTTCTCTTGTTTGGTGGGTGTGTCAAACATGTCAGCCCAATCAGCAGCAACATGTATGTAAACCACACGGTATTAAAGAGACAGCTCGCACAATGTAATTAACATCCAAATAAATTCACAAGAGCACGTATATTGTTTGCACATGTTTATTTACATTAAAGGCAAAATAACTTAAATAATAAGGGCACAAGTATAGATCTGGAACTTTTTTAAGTCTGTCTAAATATCATTTAGTAATTGCAATGTCTTCTGGTCCATATCCTTTCCTTGGGAAGGTATGCTAAATACTGATTAATGTAACATAAAAATACTATACATATTTATATATTTTGCTATTGTATTATGGAGTGACACTTTCATAAACTTTTCTATACCCCTCTGATTATATAATGGTAAATATTACAATATCATAGCACAACAACAGTGATCAGCAATAATGATAAGCCTAATACTCACAATAAAAATAATAAGGTCATATAGATCATAACACAGTCTTGGAGGTAAGAAGTGGATTATCCTTCACCTGAAATGTTTGTCTTTTCATCCTGAAATGCGAGGCAAATGTTGGATCACAATAATTAGGAACCACAGTTTCCACAAATCCCTTCACTCGATTGGGATGTTCTCTTTTATTCTGGAAGGCAGGGGCAGTGACTGTACCATCGAGCGTATTTTGCAGTATTAAACATGTATTTATACCGATTTCATCAGGCTCCGAAAATTCTTCAAAAAGAACACAAAGAATGGCCTTCTCAGCTGCCATAGTTGCAACTCTTGCGTCATCAGAACAGGGTGTTCAACGCATCACCGTTTCCGTTTAAAAAACGTTTTGCACCGTTTTTGTCGGGGCTGAACGCAGCCCTGTTTGAAAAATCATTAAGTGTTTGAAAAATCATTAACTTAATGTGATGCTGCACAGACATGTTTTTATGACAGTAAACATTCTTTTCATGTAATCTTAATGTTGTATAATAAAACTGATTAAATATATATATAGAACTCACTTTTTTGGTATTTAAGTAGTCTAGGTGCTGATAAAGCTGTAAAGAGAGTACTGAATGAAAAGTGTTTTGTTGCTGCCTGTAGACATCTGAATGTTATTAAAACAAGAAATGATACTCTAAATTTGAAACTAAAACCATAGGTGAATCATTCAGTCATTTTTTCAAACCACTGATTCATTTAGAAGTGAAGCCTGTCTTTTGAATGGGTCACTGAATCATTGGCTCGATTCATTCAAAACTGAGGATTCATTCAGTAATGAAACCGTGCCGTGTTGCTCTGAGACTCATAACAGTTTTGTTCTGGCTTTGTTTGGAGCTGTTTTCATTCGCAAAATTGAGCAAAACAGACAATATTGTGTCTAAACTTTAAACCATATTAACTATTTATTGTATAAAAACTATTGTATAAAATAAATATCACATTTGTAATTGTGATATTCAGAAAAATTTGCACTCTTGCTCATGTGATATTGCTAAAAGTATATTATATAAGACAAAAAGCCATATGGAGCATGCCCTCATATCTGGAAATTTAGGCCATATAACAGCATTCTAGGCTACATCACACAGTCAGTCGTTGTCCTGAATCATGTTCATCAGCTACTGCATGCAACATAAGATGACATACAAGGCTGGGCTGGGCTGGGCTGGGTGTGTTAAATACCTTCATTTTAACGTGTTTTTATTTTCTAAATTAACATGTTAAATTGATAGCCCTACTGTTTATTTGACAAATATTGCATCTAATCCATTTCATCTGCGTTAAAGAAAGAAAATTCCATGCAAGGGTCAAAAAGTATATGACTTCACTTTGTCAAAGTTGAAGTCAAAAACACCTAACATTTTGGCTAATGTATATGGAGCCCTGGATATGACATGCTCTTGAAAAAATACAAGATATTGTGGCCCCAAATTAAGAATTCATTCACATGATTTAATAAATTTCTTGTTTCTTTGTTTTAGTCAAATCACGTTGTACTTTGCTCCTTTGTTTTAATTTGTGTAAATTGTGACAATGATTTAACTAAAACAGCGACAGAATTAATACATTGTGGGAATGAATTAAGACAATGTGGCCACAATTTAAGTAAAATTTACTAAAATGATAAACTAATTTTTTTTCCTGCAAGTCATGTGCAGGGCTCCGTACTAATGCTAGTGGTGCCGAAATTAAAAACGTCATCTTTATTAATGTACTGAAATATTGAAAATATCTGTGTAGGCCATTCAAGAGCACCTTTCATGTTTTAACATTCATTCACGTGTGGGTATGTGTGCAGGCATATGTTCCCTGCTGATGATAACTGGGGCATACTGCATCAAGGCCATCAGAGTTTGTGTTGGGACGACTGTCTGTTTATGTATCCCGATCTCTGCTCTCTTATCAGTTCTTTGGGAACTTGCAAACTTAAATCTGTACACAGTGGAAAATTAAATGAAGAAACATACACACACAGAAAACCAGACACTAGCACAGACTCAGACACATCTGATCATAGTGACAGATAAGAACAGAGGAGATGCGTGATCACACATGCAGCGTACTAATATGACATACAACACACAATATGAGTGTCCTGATGAGAACACCTTGAAGTTTTACGCATGGGACTCACGTGAGTGTGCCATTTAGAGAGCAACATCTCCACTCTTCTGCCTCACACACAACTGTCTCTCTCAACAGATGCAGCCTGAGCACTCAAATATTCCTCAAGTCTGTCTAGCTCTGTTTCTCACACACACAGATCCACACACACTGTTGTGCTAAGACCGTCCTTCACTAACAGTAACCTTGCTGTAGAACCAGCCATGACGTTATTTTATTGCAGGCTGGTCTTGATGCATGATCACATACATTTTCTCTCTCTCTCTCTCTCTCTCTCTCTCTCTCACACACACAGTGTGAGCTATATAGTACATATATACAGTATTTTTCATTCAGTATTGTATGAAACATGTAATCATAAAGTACTTGAATGATTTTTACAAAGCATGCCCTCATATCTGGAAATTTAGGCCATATAACAGCATTCTAGGCTACATCACACAGTCAGTCGTTGTCCTGAATCATGTTCATCAGCTACTGCATGCAACATAAGATGACATACAAGGCTGGGCTGGGCTGGGCTGGGTGTGTTAAATACCTTCATTTTAACGTGTTTTTATTTTCTAAATTAACATGTTAAATTGATAGCCCTACTGTTTATTTGACAAATATTGCATCTAATCCATTTCATCTGCGTTAAAGAAAGAAAATTCCATGCAAGGGTCACTACGGGAAGCAAAAAGTATATGACTTCACTTTGTCAAAGTTGAAGTCAAAAACACCTAATATCAGAGTGTTTTGTAAAATCATTAATGTCTTCACTGCCCTTTGATCAGTTTAATGCACTCAAGCTGAAACTGATAAATGAAAGTATTCATTTAAAAACTTTTGAAAAGTAGGATATTTCACAGGATAGAGCGTAATGAAGACAAACTGCTTGCTTTCTAACGGTGGAGAGTCACAAGAGCAGTTTCCCCCTCACAGACTTAATGAAAGTGAATGAGTTGAAATGATGAAGGCATTCCTGATGAATTTTCAGAGTGACTTTAGCAACTGTTTATACAATATCAGGGCAGTGATGGGCAGTCAATGCAAAAAAAATAGAGCTGTTTTGATATTTGTGCATATTTGTATTCTGAAAGTTAATTTGATGAAAAAGGTGATTTAAAGGTGTTCTTGTCACGGTTCATGGGTTCACTGACTCATTTTCGCTCTGTGTGTGTGAGTGGGTGTGTCGGTGATAGCTGCTGATTGTTGATCTGCGCCAGCTGTAGCTCATCAGCTCAGCTATATAACACCTGTGCTATCCGTCCTGTGTTGTCAGATCGTTTGGTGTTCCTGCTGTGTTCAGTTATCTGTTTCCTGGCCTTCGTATCATGGGAGTTCGGTTCCAGGATTCACCCCCAAGGATCGTATGTTCTCGGGATATCCACGGGTGCCCATTTGCGTCCCTGCGCTACCAAGAGTGACTATATCCTGCACATGCCTTGTTTAACTCTTGCCTTTGGTCTGGTTGGATCCTTTTCCTAATAAACTGTTATATTTCACATTCACAATTGAATCCTCCTTTTGTTCCCGTGACAGTTATTTTCAATGCTTCAAGGGACGCACAGTTTATTGCCTCAAAAAAAAAAAAAAAAGAATAAGTACACAGCCTTGTACCTTTTTCTCTTCATTCTTTTTCTTCCAAACAAGGTTTACGATGTTGTGATTCATTCGGCAGCAGGTTGATTTGGTTCATGACATAGAATTCTTCATTAAAGAAAGACATTTTTGAAATTGCTATAGAGAAAATGAATGTGAAAAGAATAATGTGATTATAATTTGCACTCTGAGTCAGAAGCTAATGTTAGCTCATTGCTGTCTAGGACGGTTAACACTAGTTTTAATGGACATATGGTGAACATTTGCGCTGTGCTAAGTAGGACAGTTATGACTCTTGCTCAAACTCAACTGCACTTTATTATAGTGTAACAGCAAGAGATGTTTCTTGGTTCTAACGGTGTAACCTTTATATAACACTTAATAATAATTACTGTAGGGTATGAAAAAAAAATTAACATTAGCTCTTTGCACTGTATCAATAGCCAAAGGCCCTGGTGGGTCTTTAAATTAGCAGCACATCCCCCACTCCCTGTGGCCGTTACTATAGCAACCACATAGTGAACCACTCTGCACTCTGCACTGTACCAGAGAGAGAGCAATAAGGAGGGAGAAATGATTGATGGAATATTGGGAAAGAGAGGAAAGAGTAGAGCCTGGAATGAGAGAGAAAGAAAGCAAGTGGGCGTACCAAGGGCACAGGAAGGAACAAACCTACATACCAAGAGTGTGGAAATGGGGGATGATGAAAAACACATAGGGACTGAGACATCTCAAGGTGAACTAAAGAGAGAAAGAAAGAGCTTGAATATGACAAGTAAAGGAAGGAGTCAAAAGGAGACAGACAAATGGACAGAGGCAGACTAGAAGAGCAACGGAACAAATAGACAGATGGAGAGAGATGACTGGGAGCAAGTACCGAGAAACAGCATATTCAGGAAATAAAGCATACTGAAGGACTACTTTTAAAGCACCTGGTATGTGTGCAGTAACACCCATATATTTCTTAGTAGTTTTTGTAGTTTTATAGTTTGCAGCAGTGTAATTTACATTGAACTGAGCATGTGTGATGGTGGGGCTTTGTGTGTGTGTGTGAGTATGCAACTGGAAATGTGCAATCTAAAAATGCAGAAAGTTTCCTGTGAGGGGTAGGTTTAGGTGTAGGGTTGGTGTAGGGCAATAGAATATACGGTCTGTACAGTAGAAAAACCATTACGCCTATGGAGAGTCCCCACAAGGATAGCAAACCAGACGTGTGTGTGTGTGTGTGTGTGTGTGTGTGTGTGTGTGTGTGTTGTGTGTTTGTGTGTGTGTATGTGTGTGGTATGATAAGAAAGAATGAAGGGCTGTGATAGCTTTTTCTTTTAAATAGAGTTCCTGTAGATCTGTCTGTAGAGCATGGTGCTCAACTTGCAGATTTTTAAATGTTTTTGAAATAAGTCTTTAATGCTCACAAAGGCTGCATTTATTTGATCAAAATACAGTCAGTGTTTTCTATTTGAATATATTTTCAAATGTAATTTATTTCTGTGATGGCTAGGCTGAATTTTCGGCAGCCATTACTGTCTTTAGTGTCACATTATCCTTCTGAAATCATTCTAATATGCTGATTTGATGCTCAAGAAACATTTCTTATTATTAGTGATGTTGAAAACAATGAAAAGAGTTGTGCTGCATAATATTTTTAGAAAACGGTTTGTTTGAAAAGTCATTTTGTTGTAACATTGTAAATGTATTTAGTGTCACTTTTGATCAATTTAATGTGTCCTTGCTGAATAAAATTATAAAAGTTAATAAATAAACTATTGTAATCCCAAACTTTTGAATGGTATTGTATATGTATTCCTACTTATAAAGTTTTCTTTTAGGAATAGGGTTAGCGATAAATTGCTATAGTATAGGAGGTAATTATTAAGGTTGGAGACTTCTTAATTGTAACACTAAATCAAGCATTTTCTGTAAATCTGCTTTGAAACATTATTTATGGGAAAACGTGCTATATGGATACTTGCATTGAATTGAATATGTTTATTTCACTCTCCCTCTCTAGCAGTGCAATAAAGATTGAGTGAAATATGAGCACATTACTCTCTCTGCTCCCGTCTCACAGGTGTCGCTATTAATCATCTGCATTTGCACAGTAGGTGTGTGTGTGTGTTGCAAGAGATTATGAAAGAGTGAGAATGATTATTCTTTCTATATTTAATCTGTGAAAGAATATCAGTAGTTATAGAGACGTGTTATAGTAATGAAAGGAGTGAGTATGTTGTCCAGACCAAACAGTAAATGGAGAAGGGTATAGATTACAGTGTTGTGACCACTTAAAACAATGGCAGAAAGAAAATATTGACTAGTCGAAACTACAACAGATCGGCTTTCAACTGCCAGCGCGCACAAACAGTGTTTGCATGTGCTTTTGTTAGGATCATTTTGGTAAAGAAAGATCAAAAATGCTCTGAACCATTTAGACTCTCTCCCAGCGAGGAAGAGAACAGAGACTGTGAGTGTGTGTGTTTCAATACTCATAAAGCCTGGGACTGAAAGTGGCTGGGCTGCAGTGTGTGTTTGTCTCTGTGTGTGTTCTGAGGGAGGGAGGGAGGTATTGCAGCAGCTGATGAATGATAGTAGAGGCTTTATTCATCAGTTCATTCATTTATTCTTTCTGTTCCTATGATTCCAGCCTCAAGTGCTTGTTCAGACCTCAAAGGAACAGAGAGAAGAACATGCTGATTACCTCACACGCTTACACATACATTAGCAGACACGTGTTTTCAACAACACAACACTGCCCTTCAAATTCCAAAACAAAAAAATAAGTTGAAAAATATTATTTTGTGTGTCTTTATCTATATGTGTGTATGTGGGTCTGATGGTCAGGCTTTGTCTACATTGTCATTGTGTGGATCAAATGTCCCTACATGTATAGTAAGAACTGAAATGGTAGAATAACAAATATATGTGTGAATTTCCCTCATATATAGTGTTACATAATGTATGTAATAGTTAGCAAACCTCAGACAACCCCACATTAAAGATTCATGAAACGATGGCAAGTCTGCTTCCCATTATGTGTCAGATGTTTCGTGATCGATTGATGTTAACTGATTGACTGCTTGTTTAAGCAGTGCTGGACTGATGGAAGTTTATTACATCAACTAAGGTGAAATCAGTATTCCTTTACAGGCTGAAGATTCATTAGATGAAAAAACACTTAAAGACATCTCTTGTGAGGCATGTTTGACAAAAAATACTGAGCAGGGAAGCACAAAATTTGACTCAAGCTATAAAAATTTCCTCATAAAATTATTAATTAACTGAACAATAAAATGTTAATACATAAAAGAAGTGAATAGATGCTGACAATGAGATGTTGACAATGAATTGTCATTGCAGTGAGGAAAGTGTCTATGTGTACTTGTGTTTTGATTGACTAGATTATATGAGCACGTTTTTCTCAGAACCATCACTTAGAATGCTGTTTTCAATATGTCTGTATAGAAATGACTTACATAAACTTAAGCATCCTGCACACACACACACTCACTTACATGCCCTCTGTGCAACAACCCACACACACACAACCTCTCACAGACATGGGAGAAGGGCGTACCCTTGATGTGAGGCTACCTGCAGTTAAGGTTAATGAGCACTGCAGAGAGTAGTGCTTACTCAAGTCTGACACACACACATACACAAATACACAAATGTGCACACGTTAAGCTCCCAATCAGAACATGCCTTCATGACACACATGGTTAGTGTGAGTGGGTGGGTGTTTATGTGGTAATGGGAGTGTAATATTCTTCCCTGATGCTGTCAATATGCTTTATATCAACTATTCATTTTCAGCAGCCATATTTATAATCTCTCTATCAATAGTAAATCTCTGGGTCCTAGTCTTTAAAGCCCATAATGCAGCCTATTGATCACTCACAATTTATTTTGCATTAAAGAGAGAGACCAATTGCAATGTATCCGGGTCTAAAATGACCAAGAACATATTTCTGTTCAAAAATGTATTTTTAAATGTTTTTGAAAGAAGTATCTTATGCTCACCAAGACTGGATTTAATTGATCAAAAATACAGTTAAACAGCAATATTGTGAAATGTTATTACAATTCAGAATATCTGTTTTAAGTTTTAATATATTTTAAAATGCAATTGCAATTGCATCCAAGCTGAATAAAATATTTATAGATTTATATATTATATATATTAGATATAGATAGATAGATAGATAGATAGATAGATAGATAGACATATCTATTCTTCATACATTACCTTAGGTTAATTCATACAATGTGCTTAAATGTAAAAATGTATTAGCATGTAGAAATTAACATTCACCTGGATTGACCTAATGCATTTACTAATGTGATAAAATTGAACCTTAATATATAAAGTTTTATCAGGATATTTTTATTGGACATTCCCCACTCATACACAGGAACAGTTCTTGTGTGAGGTGTGTGTATATTGCACTATAGCTCTTACCTGCCGATCATAGTAGAGTGCTGCTGTACCGCAGCCTCCAGCAATCTCTCCAATATAGTCCACTCGCCCATGATGCCGCGTTTATGGCTCTCACTCCTCCTCTGATCTTCAGCCTGAGCTGTCACAACCTCTGCCCTCAGCAACTTTTCCAGTGTCCCTCTGTTGACCTTTGATGGGATTCTTGGGGCTCCTCTTGAAAGCCGCAGCTGTGTGCGTCTGAGCGTGCGTGTGTGTCACGGTAGCGCTCTAGTGCGGAGATGAGCTAGTGTAGCATCTGCAGCAGAAAATCTGATGATGCTGAGGCACAGAGACTGCATCTCTCAGTTTCACACACACACACACACTGTCTACCTTCACTGTTTTATCTCTCTCAGGGTGTAGGACACTCTACTTGCTCTTGCATTGTACCCTGTGCTACAAATGCACACTCTCTCTACACCTATCTAAGCTCGATGGGATTCTTGGGGCTCCTCTTGAAAGCCGCAGCTGTGTGCGTCTGAGCGTGCGTGTGTGTCACGGTAGCGCTCTAGTGCGGAGATGAGCTAGTGTAGCATCTGCAGCAGAAAATCTGATGATGCTGAGGCACAGAGACTGCATCTCTCAGTTTCACACACACACACACACACACACACTGTCTACCTTCACTGTTTTATCTCTCTCAGGGTGTAGGACACTCTACTTGCTCTTGCATTGTACCCTGTGCTACAAATGCACACTCTCTCTACACCTATCTAAGCTTTTTCAACCCTTTCCTTCACATGCACACTCAACTCAAGCTCACACACACTCACTCACTTGACGGTCACTGCAGGCTCTCTTTTCCCATTAGTTGAGCAGAACGCTAAAGGAACACACATGCAAGAACACACGGATAATGATGCGGCTCTCTGAATCTCATAGCAATGCCTGAGCGCACCCTCACACACACATACACACACAGTATTGGCTGTGCACTAGTGTGTGGCAGTGGCAGCAGCAGACGAGGATCGTCAAGGTTACGTCCAGTTAAGTGATGAGCCTGTGGTCATGTCTGTGGCAAAGGGCTCAGTCTTCTTCAAACCTCAGCCTCTCTTCTCTCTCTTGCTCTCTCTCTCCACACCTTCCCCATTCTTTTCGCCTTTGTGCTGCACTGCTGTTGCTGCTGATGATACCTTTCCCTCTGCTCCTCCTCCTCTCTCTCTCTCTTTGCCTCTGTAACATGCCGTAAGCATGCCACCCAGCCTCCCTCCCTCTATCCCAGACCTGCTCTCATCTCCCCTCCCCTCTTCTTTCGCTCATTCTCCTCTGCTCTGCTGACTGTTTTACTTGTGCTGCTGTTTAGGATATGTGTGCTGCAGGAGCGAAACAGGTTTTAACCTTGTGCATGTATCCGGTCATCTACATCTGATCCTCAGTGTGTGCCACACACCTCTTTGGAATAAATGCTGAAAACAATGTATGGCCATGTCTGCAGAAATGATTGTAGTTGAAAATATTTCATAAATGCACTTGTATGTTGTCTTAACTTCCATATACAGTATATATATATACGTAAGTACATTAAAGTATACAAAACAATTGGATGAGCAACAAGATAAACAATGCAACAATATTACAGCAATATTAACAAAAGGTCCTCTAAGGTGATTTTCACTACAGCCAAAAATAGAGATGAAAAATGGTGGCAATTACGTTTGTAGGAAAGAAAAAAGCTGATGTGATACAGGAGACATGAACGTAGCACCTTTTCAGTTACCCGGAAAAGCGGTTCATATATACAGCGTTGCCATAGATGACGCTAAATATTAGGAAATATCTAACCAATATGTTGGGATTGACCAGTCAGAATAGAGCATTTCAATAAATCAGTCCCGGCACCAGGCCAGTCATGACAGGTGGGCAAATGCATACCGATAGAAAATCAAGTCACAGAAAGGCATTTATTAACGCTATTTATATAAGAAAATCTCCCCAACATGTATTTAATCCTGGAAACAATTGTTATACAGTGCATAACAACATTTAAGAAATCTACTACAGACACAAAAAGCACCAAAGCGAGCATTTACAGGCAGCGATTTCTCTATGTAATAATAAAAATATGAAACTACAGTCAGAAGAATTGGAGGCGTCAGTGTTTCAATGAATTGAACTTCCTCAATACGTGATCTTTCCACTCATTGTGCATTCCTTTGTCAAGTCTTTCTCAAAAGTGAGTTTTATCATGTGGGCCATTTGTGAATGCTAAATGCTTCTTCGCTGGTCAGAGAAAATCCACTTTAAGGTTGAGAATGAATTCTCACACATTGCTGTTGAGGCTCCAAGTGTCAGTCCAAGTTTAAAAGCAGTCACAACTGATGGCATTGTCATCAAGTTTTTCCAAAATGTTGTCAGTGTCCATTTTTGTGCAAAGGAATGTCTTAGCAATAGCATATTTGCTATCAACAAGCTCCATACCTGTCAGGTCCAACAGTGGTGTCAGTTTCATTTTGTCCAGAAAACCCTCCCCAACAGGATCCAGGGCTGCGAGAGCTTGAATGAGTTTATTGTTACAGTCTTCAAACCGTGCAGCCATTTCTATACTCACAGCATCAACCGAGCTGAAAGATGACGAAGTTCAGTCTTGTCACTGTGTTCGTGTTGTCCTGCGGTTTCCTCAACAGAGTAATGCTCCAAGTTCTTACTCACCGTGTGTTGTGTTTTGTTTGGCCTGGTTTCGTTTGGGACCAGATCGCAGCTAATTGTCCAAAGCTCATTGAACTCTTCCTCTGATCGAAGCTTCTGAACACATGAACTGAACACTGAACTTAATGGCTAAGCATAAATCAGTGTTTTCTGCTTGAAGTATTTTGTTTGCTGGGTCAAGAAGTTTCAGTATCTTATGTACCATAACTGCAGTAAAGCTGAAGTTAGGTTCTATCACTGATTGCACCAGTCCCTTAGCCTCAACACGAATGTCTGTTCCATGAGCATGATCATTACTTAAGTCCACCTAAAATGAACATATATCTCCCAGGGACTTAAGATTAACACAAACTGTGTCCAGATGGCCTGTTCATCGCTGATCCAAGAACCGATTTAACTTTTTGCATCCACAACTTTACACGGCTGTAGCAACGGGGTCTACAGCTTATACTACTAAACCTCTGTTTCGTTTAGTTAAATGTACGATACTTGCATTGCCTTGGCCGTTGAACGAGCGTCCGGATGCAGTCTTGGATGAAAGTCTTGATGGTTTAAAGGTTTGGTGGTGTTGGAGACGCGATCACGTTCTTCTGGGTTTGAAGAGTGATGAATTCCAAAAGATGCAATTCTGACTCGGTGGTGGTCAGAAGAGTTTTTTTCTCAGATGGAAAGTGATGAGAGAAGAGCGCAAAGCTAGAGAGACATCAGCTGAGATCCGAGGATCTTTGATGAATGGAAAGACAAGGCCGCAGCCTGGCACAAACTTATGTTTGAATTAATTTTAAACTTAAAATTTCTAGAACTTGCACCCATATATTTAAAAGGTTGGCACTTGTATTTCATTCAGTTAATTTTCTTATATCGCCCATATCTCTTTCTTTTCTCATTTCTCTCACTGTCCATCACTGCAGCCATATGATTCTGAGTGCTGCATTTATTTGATTACAGTTTTTCTCGATTGCTTAAACACATTTCTTGAAACTATGCCTCATATTCTCAAAACAGTAAACACAAATCCATAACGTCTCACCCAATTCCCCAAACATCCTATTTTCAGGTCAAAATGAAGCTCTACACTCAAAACCATTCACTCTTGCTGAAAGACCAAACTTTGGCCTCAGACATCACACACAAGCCCTCAAAAACACACACACTACAGCATAGTCTTACACACTGGTGAGATAAATTCAAAACAATACTACAAAAACCAAATGCATGCCTGATCCACCCCTGGCATCAGCTGAAATGTATAGTCAGGCTTCTTCCATTCCATCATCTCTGTGTCCTACAAAAATAGAAGTACTGATTACTGTAACTGTAACATCCTTTTTACAAAATGGAAGCAGACATAAACTCTATCTGTATGTAAGGCAATTTGATGCTTGTGTTGTAACAGAGTACAGCACTCAAAAGTTACAGTAGAGTACACTGAGGTACACCTACCTGTTTTCCTCCCTGGAGGTTCTTATGATCAAGGCGACGGTGAAGCAACTTAAGTTTGGCTGAACTCATTGCCCAGCCTCCCTCATAGTCATGCCATGGATAAGGACATGGTCAACTAGTGGCACGAATTTCATCTGAGACGCCTTGTCTCCTTGCCCCTCATCCTCATCCTCCTCCACTCCTTACTGCTCTTGCTCTTCCTCTTCATCTTCCTCTTCCTCCTCCTCCTCCTCCTCCTCCTCCTCTCTGGTGTCCTCGACCTTTTCAATCACATCTCTCTGGATCCATTGTTCCAAAACTGAATGAACTGACTTGGGCTCTTTTATCGATCTATTGAAGGTTCTGATTGGTGTGTGATAAATTTTGTTTCCACGTGGGTAACTGTGTGCTAATTGAGCTCAAGCTATGCTGACTTGAGTGAACAATATTGAATGCTAGTGCTTTCTAAATGACAACATGGTCTAGGCAATGAGAAATTAAGGTATTTGTGTGTAGAGTTTTGCAGTGACAGTTCAACAAATCTGATTCATGTGTCAAAAAGGGGAATGGTGTTTATAGTTTAGGGTAATGGGTGTGCTTTTTGATAAATGGCGTTATGGGTTTTGAAATTTTAGTTCAAAAGCCTGGTGATAGTGTTTAAGCAATCAAGAAAAACTGTAATATTTCGGGTTGATTCCCTCCCCCTTCCCTCCTTTTGCACGTTCCCTCATTTCACCTCTGCCATGTGACTCAGAGACTAGGAGTGTGAAGACAGGGAAATAGGAAAAAAAATGATTCAATCAACATTTAAAGACTGGATGTCCAATCATTTTGATAGAACACCTACTTAAACTGTAATTTACATGAATGCGTATTTATATGGGTCTCTGTAGCTGCTGTATGATGACTGATACAGCTCAACTGTGTGCAGGCATGAGTGTGTGTGTGTGTGTGTGTGTGTGTGTGTGTGTCGGTGTGTGTGTTGGTGTCATGGTAACGTTGTGTATAATTGCATTAGTCTTGTTCTGCACAGAGAGTGGAGAGGAGTTCACTATCCAGATAAGCAAGCAGCCATTAACCTTTCTCACACTCTCACTGCCTGCGTGACTCTGAAATGAAATAGTTAATCACAGAGCAGCGATGTCATTGTGGAGAGGGGGGGGGGGGGGGTTGCATTATGGGTAAGGACATGCTGACTTTGGCTATGTCAGGTGTTTTTACTCTCATAATGCACATACGCATGAAAAC